AAGAATTGTGTCTGTAATCAAACATTTTTTTCTGTATGACTTGTTTATAACTCTTAATTTCTTCTCTTAATTTGTTTATATTTGTAATTTTTAATTTGATTTTTTATCGAAATAAAATTTTGTTGAGAACTTACTATTTATAAAGCAAAAACCAAGAATGCATAAACCTACAATGGTTGAAAATCCTTTGTAAATGGAACGTATCATTTCAATACCAAGAACATCATACAAAGACAAATCCTGACAACTTGATAAACTACCAATACTAATACCACCAAAAAATGTAAAAATCATTATCCATAAATAGTTAGTTGCACGAGTTAGACCTAAAAATGACATTTTTTTTTCAGCAAGTAAATATATTAAAATATATCTTTTAATATAGTGTAAATACAGTATAAAAATACAATGTAAATAATTTATTATATACCTATTAAACTGACACTACAAGACAAAGATGCTATGCCAAAATATAATCTTCTAGTTGGATTTGTAAACTTTAATACTTTATAACTGATTAGATTCGATAAAAAAGTACTAAAACCAGCTAATATGGATAAAAACATCGAAAGATTAAAGTTATTCACGATGTCATAGGATAAAATTGGCAATAAAAGCCAAAAGAAAAGAATAGACGTTTTCATTCCAATCCAGCCGATTATTGCAGCCCAAAATCGAAAATCCTTAAGAACTCGAAATTGTTGTTTCCATTTATTATCCAAATGAACTACTGGATTTACAAATAGATCTACATCTTCATCTAAATCTTCATAAGCATAAATATTATTCCTTCATTTAAAAATCCTCCTGCATTTATTTTTTCATCAGCTTGATTATATTGGAAATTTTCTATGTTATCTTGACTATCCTCGTATTGTGAATTTTCAGGAAGATTCGAAGAAATTCTTATAGGAAGTTCAGTATCATCTTCAGTTGATAAAAGAAGACTGTAAGTTAATATCAGATTAAATTTTTATTTTAAATATTAATAATAAGTTTCTCTTTCTCTTTCTCTCTTTATTTCTTATTGATTGCTATTTAAGATTTTTAACAAAAGACCTGTAAGGAGAAGTTTGTTGAACAGGAGGCAACCGAAAAGTCAATATTCCAAATACAGTAGGCAATAATATCATGGTTATCAATTGTAAGCCAGTTTTCAATTTAGCTTCATGCAATAGCAAATTTGTTATACTTGGAATGAGTAAAAGACCGAATGAAACACCAATGTTTCTCAACATCATTGCTAAATGAAGTTTCCTTCTGAAATATTTCCTTAAAACATAGTCACTTAATAAAATAATAAAACTGGCACCAATACCCATCACTGCACCTGCACTGGTGCTGGCCAAATAAGCACCAACTCCGCCTGTTGCAAGATATCCGGATGCTATAATTCCAATTACTAAGAGAATTATTCCTATTATGCCTATTAAACGTGGCATAGACGCCATACTCACAATCATCCGTGTCCACGGATCTAAAAAATAAATTCAATGAATTAGTATTAGAGATTAAAAACTATATAATACAATGGCAATTTTATATATTAACTTTAAATGACAATTATATATAAAATAGCAAATTTTATATTTAATTTGTTTATCTGTTGTTTACCAGCTATGTTCCAAAATGCAGTAAATAATATAGGTGTTAAAATAATTTTTTCATTCCATATATCAAAATCGATGGATTCAGTTTCACGTATATATGCTAATACTATTCCATACATTGCTAGTATACTTGGAACAGTCATCTGTCAAAAATAATGACAAAATTTTTTTATTAACAAATTTAACTTTAAAAATTTTTTAAAAATTGATACATAGATTTAATATTCATAATATCATTTATTATACAAAATGTTTAAAAAAAAATTTAATATTATAAATTGAAAATTTTATATTTAATTTTTAAAAAGAATTAATATTTATATATATTTGTAATACAATGAAGTAATAGAAATTCATTTTGGTTCTTCAAAAATATCGATTTATATTGCCAAACGATTGTATTATAAAAAAACAGTAAATAAATTATTTAGTTTCGTTATTTTATTTTAGATTGTTTTTTAGATTAGAATAATTGTTTAGATTTTAAAAATTTTTATTTTATATAAAACGTTATATTTTTATCATAGAAATAAATTATTTATTAAATATTCTATCTGTATAAATAATATGTAATAATAAATATTATTAAATTAAAAAAAATTAAGAAAAATATTTATTAATTATTTATTAAATTGATAATCACTTTAATGGTAATCATTTAATCATTTTCATATTTGATTTAGATACCTGAACTAAAAAAACTCCACAAAGAATAATCCATGCATAACCACCATCTGGAACTGTGGGTCCTAGTTCTGGAAATGATGTAACGACTTCATCGAGACGAAGACGTTTAACTGATGACATTCTTTATTATATAAAAATTATATAGTTAGATTCACTGATGCATTTAGATTTATAAGAGAATTTTCAATGCATACTGCGGATATTGAAGCTATAACATTATCTAATCTTGTTAAGGATGTCAATGATCTGATAGCTAACGATAAGATGTAATAAAGCTAAAAATATTATGTATTTATATACTTTTTATAAATTTTTTGAAGACAATAAATAAGTAGAGAAATCCGATAAGTGAATACACATATAATGCAAATATAATAACATTTATTTGCTATTAAACATATTTGAGAAAATAACAGTATCAAAATTGTTATTTCAACAAATCTAATACATTAATATTGTAACAAATAAATTGAAAAATTACATTCTTAAAAATATATCTATTTTTTTTATTTAGATTCTAAATTAATTGTTATATGTATTTTATAAATATTAATGCCTCATTATATTATGAATTTTAAACTATTTATAATACAAAAGAAATTAAGTATATATTATACAATAAAAAAAGAATTTTTCTTTAACTTAGTGGTTTTACTAAAATAAAATATTTGACTCTTTTAAAAAAGATGTCAATTTAATTAAATTGTTAAATTTTTTCTAATCGCTAATTTAAGAATTTTTTTTTATTTATACATCTTCACGTGTATCACCGGTTGCTATCGATGTATATCGCACCTTCTTATTTACTGAGTCTAATATGGGTTCAATTTTCTTTTGTAATTTTGTGCGTTGTAAATAAATTAAAGCGCACATTAGTCCTATTAACACTATTGAAAGTAAAAACAGTAAAATAGTTGCACCACGTGTTGTTAATGAGAATAATTTTGGTGTGCAATTTTTTGTTTCATATAATTCATGAGATATGTTATCTATAAAGAAAATGATTATATTTTATTTCATATTATATTTGATTGTATATACTAATTTTTATGTAATCCAGATACCTTCGTAACATCTCAAATTATCTTTGTTACGAACGAACACTTTCGTTTTATTCAACCATTTGATAAATGGATTAAGTTTACAGGAACATTCAAATGGATTTGCAGTAAAATCCACTGCTATGTTTTGATTATGTTTAACAAGTGTATCCATGGTATGCAGATCACGTTCAATAATTTTTGTAAACTTATTTCGTTGGAGATCTAAGAAATGTAATTTGTGGAGACAAGATATATTAAAATGCAAAGCAGTCAGAGTATTGTCTCCTAAATAGAGATCCAAAAGATTTGGAAGGTCACAGAATACATTACTATCTCGAAATTCTGATATTTCATTTTGTTCTAAATGGAGTTTTATCAATTGTGTTAAATTACTATAATAATAATAAATTTTCATTAATAATGTTATAAATTTATTGAATCAATTGAAATTAATTAATCTGATACCTATTTACAAAAATATCGTGTAATGTCGCTGCAAGATCTCTTGGTGGTCCATTTTCGAAAGCATCAGTTAAATGGAGTTCCAAAAGAGACACAAAATTAGAGAATATTCTAGGATGCCTTCTTTCAGGATCTAATGAAAGATTATTGAAATCTAAAATAAGTCGTTCAACACGTTGAACATGATGATATGCTTTTCCTCGAATTTCCCTTATTTTATTATTTGACATATCGATAACTCTTAAATAAGGTAAACTATCCAAAGTACCAAATACATTCCATGGAAGTTCTTCGATATAATTTCCGGTGAAAATGAGTACCTAAAAATATATAATATTTAATAATATTTAATATTATAAAAATATATAATATTTGATATATAATTAATATATGATATTATAATTATAAAAATATGATTCAAATATGAATATAAATATGAATATAGAATATGAATTTAATATAATAATTTTACTTGTGTTTCCTTCGGCAAATGTGATAGCGGTGCCGTAGTATTAAATCCAGAATTAGTGCAATTAACGACATATTGATGATGATTTTCATAACATGTTCTCATACAGTAGCAACGATTTTCAAAAAATGGCCCGCAGTCTGATTTGGCACTTTGTAATGTCTCCAATGTGTGCCAATTAGGATCATTGCATTCATTGGATAATTGTGCAGTGGATGCATATATTAAAAAAATATTGCATAAAATCTCTTCATTATGTATCTAAAATATATATATAAAATATAATATAATATAAATATATATATAAATTATATATAAATAATATATAAATTATAATATAATATAAATATAAATATAAATAATATTATAAATATTGATAATAATTTTATTTGATTTTTGTATTACTTACGTATAAGTTCATTTGCCAAAATGTAATAAAAATTTATATAATTGTATGTTTTTTTATTTTTTATTGAAAAATTTTTTCCCAAATGTTAAGATTAAAATCCATTGTTTGAAGTTTTAATTTTTTTTATATCTTTAACAAAAATTTAATTTTTTAATATTATTATGAAATTATATTTTAAATCATGACTTCTAATTGGTTGCATCATATTGGCGGTATTAATGAATTTTGAATTTTATTCCATGTGATCATTAAGGTTAGTTTCTTGCGATCAAGTGTGCAAGAAAGTTTCAAGTTATGTATTACATTAAGGTAATAATATCATTTAAATAAAAATAAATTTTATAATTATAATTACATAGTAAATATGAATATTGATAAAAATACTGTGAGCATTTTGAAATCTGTTTTTGGTTACGAAAATTTTAAAAATAATGTTCAAAAGAAGGCTATTATTACTATTTGCAAAGGTTAGTATTTGAATTAAATTTTTTTATAAACTACTATATTATTATTTATATAAATTTTTGATAAAAATAAAAAATATTTTATTATGTATATATAATGCTTTTAATGTAAAATAAAATAAAAATTATTTTATAAAAAATGTATATTGTTAAAAATAAATAATGAGATTTTTCCCGCCATTATTATAAAATTTGATAAAAAGAGAATAAAATATTATAGGTTTTAAAAATATATTTATATCAATGCCTCCTGGATTTGGTAGATCTCTTTGTTTTCAATTACCAGTTCTTTTACATAAGAACAAAGTTGGAATTATTTTCTCTCCAAAATTATCTTTTATTAAGGTAAAAATTCTGTTTCGAAAAAAATAATAAAATAAACATTTTAATTAATTTTATCAATATTTATTAAATACTCATATATATATTTTTAGAAAGAAGTAGAATTTTTAAGAAGCAAACAGATTAATGCTGCTTTTTTAAGTAAAAAGTCAAAAACAAAGGAAAAAGATAATATTTTGAATGATTTAGCATCAAAATGTCCAACAATATCATTATTATATGCAACTCCTGAAATGGGGACAATGACATATTTTATGGTAAATAATACTTTAAATCTTTTAAAATAATTTTTAATTAATTTAAAAACATATTGACAGCAACTTATACTTTCATTGAAAGAGCGTACAATATTATCTTATATTGTATTCAATGAAGTACATTGTATAAGTGAATGGGGATATGAATATATACCTTGTTATGCAAAAATTATTAAAATTCATGAAATATATAAACATATTCCAAAAATTCTAATAACTACAACTGTTACTTATAAGGTAATAAAAGTAATTCAAATTATTGTCATTAAATATATATATTTGATTCTTCTGAATAAAATATTTTGACAGGTAATTGAAGATGTTTGCAAACTATTACCATTAGAAAATCTAAAAATCTTTAGAATGCCTGTACAACAAATCAATATACTTTATGATGTCTGGTTTTTAGATATAATTTCTCATCCATTTGATCATCTTAGAAAATTTTTTATACAAGCCTTTGGTTTTTTAGATTTATCTTCTCAGGAGGTAAATTTATTTGTCTCATCATGAAATTATAAGATACATAATTATGAAGATTATCTGTACTTAGATACATAAAAAATTTGGCGTTATTTACTGTAGAGATATAATTACTGCAGAATTGTTAAAAAAGGAATTAAATACTTTAGGCATATCTTCACTTACTTATCACCATAGTAAGTAAATTATAAATTAATTACTTATATCCTTATATTTAAAAGTTAATTTATGATATATTTTAGAATTAAATAATAATACAAAATGTAACATTGAAAATAATTGGATATCTGGAAAAATTCATGTTATCATTACAACATATGATTATGGATTTATTCACAAGAAATCAATTAGGTTTGAATCAATTTAAGCATATATCATAATAAATTTATCATTAATTTTCTGTTCTAAATGATTTGTAAAATTATTTATTTAATTAGATGTATAGTTTATTGGACAGTGCCTGAGAATATTAGCAAGTATTATAAAGAAACTGCACAAATATGTTCAAACAATAATCGTGTATATTGTAGAATATATTTTAGCATGAAAGAATATTTTGCTGTAAAATTTGTAATTGAAAATCATAGATTAATGAACAATATGGATCATATCAAAAAACGATTACTCGAATATGAAAAACTTGTGTCCTATTGTCTTTCTGTAAAGTAAGGAGCTTAAATTAGATATTTCTTCGAATTCTTTTTCATAATTTTTCGAAAATAAATATTAAAATCTCTTAGATGCCGACATGAAATCATTAGTGAATATTTTGGATACAAAATATCGTCTTGTAAAATGAATTGCGATGTCTGTATAAATGAGGAAATGGTAATGATTAGAACATTTAAATTTATTATGTATTCAGAAAAAATGAAAGGAATCACATACGGGTAAGTATTATTAGTACACAAGTTTGAAACCTTAAAATAATTTTGAATTTTATGTTTCAATTCTTAGTTGTGATATTAATGAATTCGTAAAGAAAAAAGAAATAGAACTAAACATTATAGAAAAAGTAGAAGACAGTTTGAAAATATCAGAAAATTCTAGTAATAATATTGTACATAACAATACTGATATACTATGTAATGAACAATATAAAGATAAGTTAATGAAAGACAAACAAAAACCATTGTTATTGAAAATATTTTAGTTAAAAAACAATTAGAAAAAAATTATATTGAAATTAATACAAAAAATACATTAAAATGCGCAAAAGATAATTCTAATACGATAGAGACAAACAAACTCGCGATAATAAATTCTTTATTAAATAAATACAATTCAGATAGAAAAGAGATATCTTCAAAACCTTGTGAAGATTCTCAAAAAAAATATTTCAAAATCTTCTAAATTAAAAGAAATAATTGATATTAAAACTTATAATAATCAATATGAACAAAAAAATGAAAATAAAAGCATAGAAGTCTTAAAAAATACAAATGAAATAAAGATATGTGAAAAAAGGGACTATATTTCAAGTCAAAAATCTTGCGAAATTATTATTGAAAAGAACAATCAAATAAAAGACCAAGAGATTCTATGAATGCATGTTTTAAGAACTACAATCCAAAAAGTAAAAAATTGAAACTTGAAAATAAATCAACTACTAAAACAACAATAAATAGAGATGGAGAAAATGTTTTTGATTCATGCATTGAACGCATCAAGGATGACGTAAATATAAACGCGACGTGTGACCATGCAACGATAGAATATTTAATGAATAAATTTCAGTTGAATAGAAATTCAATAACACTAATACCAATAAAAAAATTAAATTAGAGTGAATTAATGTTTTCTCTTCAAAATGAAATAATTTAATAAATAATATTATATGTGAATTGCTTTTTCTATTATTAATTTTTTTTAAATAATTTAAAATTGTATATCAAATAAAATGCAATAAAATATATTATATTTATATATTATACTTGTGTATAAAAAAAGAATTATAGTATTCATAAATATATTAAGTGATAGTTGCAAGAAATAACACTTTACAATATGATTATTATAATTATCACCATTATATAAACATTCTATTTTTATAAGTGAAAATATTTTTTATCTTTAAATGAATATCTATTTGATAATTTTTTTTTAAATTTTATCATATTTTGTGATTAAAATATTTTTATTTTATTTTAAGACGTTAATAGATGTAGCATATCAATGATAGAACTGAAGTAGGTCGTCGAGTCATACTCTTTATAAAACGTCAACCCACGCAACAGGTGATACTAAATAAAAAATATTTTCTTACAAAAAATTCTTCATTTTTAAAACTATTTATTTTTGTTTTTTTTTTATAGAACATTTTTAAGATATTTAATTTTTAAATTATTTACAATAATTAAATTATATTTGTTTATATTATCATATAAAATACAATTATTTTTAATTATACAAAATAATTCGTTATATAATTTAAAAAATCGGTAAAATATTAAATACAAATTAAATTTTTATTTTTAGCAATTTCGATTAAATTATTTCATTTTTAATTTAAATCTTTTTTTAGTAATCATTTTTAAAAAAATTTTTTTTTCTTTTTTTCTTTTTCTTTTATTAAATTATTATATAATAAGGCTTTTATATTTTTTACTTTATTTCTTACTTTCATAAAAAAAATATATAGTTTTTATAATAAATAAAATTAATAATTGAAGAAAAGCTACAATATATTTATTCAAAAAAGAAAAAAGAATTATCAATTTTACTATTTATAAATTAATTATAAATATTATTCAGGGATAGTCCAAAAATAATTATTTAACCATCATTAGTACTCACTGTTCAAAGCAAGAGATAGTGATGGAAGAGAAGGAGGAGGAAGGACAAAATCGTGATTCATCCAAGTTACCGGTATATTCGTACAGGAATCACTAAAAGAATTTTTTTGCTTTCATCTTTTATCAGAGTTTTTAAATTTCAATTTCACCTCAATATTTTCGATAAACTTTCAATTTAAATTAATATTTAGGAATTTTTCAATAAAATAACGCATGGCACTTTAAATTTGACTTGAATTTCACTGACTCAAGTAGTGTAAAACTTTGCTGGCCAGCAATGTGGACGAACAACCTGTTAAAGATACGCGACACTGAAACGATTCACTGGATGCTCGAAATATTATGGCAGACTGGAACGAGAGTACTCCTCTCTCACGACGGATAGTATTACACTTGGAGGTGCCTCAGACATAGCAGCCGCACCTGTGCTCCCTCCTTCCAACCCTTCCCTATACTTTTTCTCGCTTTCTCTTTATTGCTTCGTATTCTTTCTTTTTCCACAAATGTTGAGCTCATATTTTTCTCTGACTTGTTTCTTATCTTTCATTTTCTTCTTTCGTTTTCTTTCCTTAATTTTTTTTATCTAACCATATGTTCCTTAGAGTTTTCATTTTTGGAGATCATGAGATTGATGCAAATTATATGTTCGATACTATTGCTACTTTAGATATATACATGAAAATATATATTGTTGTCGAAAATTATGAGATTAAATGAAAATATAAATAAATGTAAAAATTTTAATTTTGATGAAATTCGTATATATTTATATATAATAAATTATATTACATAATTTTTAAGATAAAAGATAAATTAAGATGTTCTTCTTAAAAATTTACTTTTCTATTCATTAAAAAATAATAGTAAAATTGAGATTTTTCTAAAATTCTTGTTAAAAGATGAATAGAAAATTAAAATTTTTTCATTTTTTCAAATTTTTTATATAGAATCAAAAAATTAATATAATATTTTAATAAATTAATATTTATATTATAATTATATAAGAATAATTTAGTGATTAAACGATTCATTTTATCTTCTAAATATTTTTTTTTACCTTATATGCATGTTACAATATTCCAATTTAAGACGATTAAAAATGAGATAAATTTTAATAATCAAAAATTGATATTAAAATGCTTTACTCTTTTATTTTATTACATTAATTGTGATTTAAATATGTTGTTGACGTTATTGTACAAATAATTTAATTATTAATCATAATCATTGATGATATAAATAACTATCAAGATAACTAAATTTAGTTATGTACTTCAAGTAGAAAATAAATAATATTTTATAATTCAGAAATTTCTTTGACACAAACAAAATAGAATGAAATATAAGTATAGACAAAGATTTATACAATATTATCAAATAGAATCTACTTGCATTAGCTTAAAAAAATTAAATTAATTGAAAAGAAAACATATAATAATAATTATTAATAACAATATTATATATATATATACAACAATAAAAATATTAGTAACAATATAAAATCAATAATTGATAAAAGTATAAAATACGAAATATGAAAATATAAAAAATAAAATAGTTATTATGAAATGTTAATTATTACAAAAGTAGTAAATTTCAAGCCTTATAACGTGATCTTTAATTACAGATATATGAATGTAAGTTTTTTCTTTTTATCCTACCAAAGATAAAATAGATTTCTGTGGAAGATATTTATTAAGAATTTAATTTTTTGTTTTTAAATTTTACATTTTTTAAATATAATATTATTTTTTAAATATTTTATATATATATAATATATATATTAAATTATATAATATGATATAATAAAAATATATGATATTTAATTTATACCATAGAAATTTATGCTATATATTTATACTCTGAGCTTTGCTTGAGTATGATATTGAACGTTTTAATAATTTATTCTTTAACAAAATGATAAGTAACAATAAATCATTTAATAATTTTAATATATATTAATATATATTAACATATATGTATCACACACAAAAGTAGACACATATAAAATATATATATTTGCATATAAAAATTTGATGTTAAGATTTTTATATAGGTTAGATAAAAAAAAAAATAATAAAGTTAATTAGATATTGGAATTATTGCTTTTCTTGAGTGCATAAATTTTATAAAACAAATATAAATAAGAAAAGATAATAAGAGATAAAATAAAAATTTTGAATCTGTTATTTTTAAATATCGTAGATGAAATTAATGTAAATAAGGAGAGCAAATAGTACGAGAAAGATAAAGAAAATAAGAATTGATCTTTATTGTCATTTTAAGTATTAAAGACATTTCTTTAAAGATAGAATAAAATAAAATAATTGAAAACAAGAGTGTCATCTCTTAAGATTTTTTAAAGAAATATTTTCATTCAACAGATGGCGTTGACAGTCAATTTTTATTTTATCTTTCTCTTCCTATTATTTATTTTCTATTCATAATTAATGCGTGATCAAATACATATTAACTGAATATATTTTCATCGATTTTCTTCCAAAATTATAATGTATTTTAATTTTCATATTATAAAAATTTTTATAATATAAAAAAATATAAATTTTCGACTTTACATTATGTATTATACATTACAATATTTGATTTATAAATACATAACGTATCTTGATATGATATGAATGATGTGAAACATTAAAAAATAACAAATATTTAATTCAGCAAGATATAAAAATTCATATAAAATATTATCATTAAAAAATGAAAAAAATTTATAGGATATAAAATAAAAAAATAACTCGAAATAGTTCCATTAAGTATATATTGAACATCTTTTGTAACATTTATTTGCGTATATACATACATAAGTTTGCAAATGAACGCATACTTAGAAATTATGTAAAATATGTCATGTCTAATTCTGTTTCGTAACTTAAAACATGAAATTGATTTCATTGTTTAATATTCAAAAATGTACAAAAAAGATTTGATTATTTTTAGATAATGAAAAATTAATTCTTAATATATCTTATCATCTTATCGCTGATTATTTATTATTTAGAATTATATTAATATGAGATATTTGTATTTTTTTTTTTCAAGAAAACATATAATAGATAATATATAAACATATCTTAGAAAAAATAAATGATAAAATGAGTGACAATGAAAATATTTCGCTCAAAAATCAATAAAAAAATACGTATATATATGTATATATAAAAGATAATTGTATATGTTTATGTAAGAGTATATTAATATCAAAATCAAGAATATTATACAAATGATTATCTTTCATGTGTTTTATGAATATAATTTTTTTTCTTTTTGTTTAATATTAAATGTGAAAATTTTTTTAAATATATTATAACATCAATATATTTAATAAATTTAAATCTTTAAATAGGTTTATAGTTTCCAAATATATTTTTTCTTTTTTTTTTGTATATTTTTTTATGTAAAATCGTATCTATTGCTCATATATATTTTTTTTATTTTTATAAGAAAAATCATGCAAGCAAAAACCAATGAAATTTGTAATAATTAACACACATATACAAAACAATGATGATATACATACAATAGCAATCACAATCATTAATTCTAATTTTTGTTATTTCATCCTAGAATAAAATATAATTAAAATTCTAAATTTCAAAATTATTATAACAAATAATGAATGATATAATATGAAATATTTTTGGATTTGAATTTATGAGATTAATGTTATATCATTGTTATATATTGTTTTCAAAAATATTACAATTATAAATAAATAACAATTATTTTGAAAAAAATAATATAATAAAAAAATTTATGATTTATAAAGTCATATAAAAGATAATTGTACATGTGCGTGAAATTATAAAACTATTGTAATTTATAATAATAGAAACTCCATCTTTTGAGTTGCTTATTGGGCAATCATTTTTCTTTTATATTTAATGTAAGCGTTTTCATATTCTTAATTCTATATATCGGATATAGCATAACATCGGATATGTGTATATATGTGTGTATGTATGTATATATATATATATATATATATACATATATACATATATATATATATACGATTATTTATCAATTTAACCAGAGTTTCTTAAATATTACAATCACAAAGAATTTAAAATTTAAATTTAAAAATTTAAAAAAATTAAATTATAAATAACTTTATATTAGTTTAAGAATTTCTGGTTAATAACTTTTTATATATAAAAAAGAGAAAGAAAAATAGCAAAAAATAATGTAAAAATAAAATAATCAATTAACACATTGTTTACTAATTTTTTATTCTAATAAATTTATATTTTCATTTTTTTAAAATGAATAATTATATTTCATTTTATTAAATATCATTTTTTGATATTTATTGATTTATTAATTCATCATAAATGTAATAAACAACGTGTTAATTAAAAAAAAAAAATAATAAATTTGATAAATTAGAAATTCAATTTTTATAGACTAGACACTATGATCTTTATGTTTTGATTTGTTCAACATATAAAAAAAAAATTTTAATATTTTCACAATCTTATTTTGTACCATGATACTCATCACCAGAATAAATGTGCAAATTTTTTTTATTTTAATTTACTAATTCATTTGACGATGAATATTAGTGAAATAGTTAAATATTTATTTTATTTGTATATTATTATACATTATCCACTAAAATATTCATCATCAAATATAAATCACTATTATTAAGACACAACTTTTCCAAAAGTAACTCTTATTTGTTATATTGAAACACTTTTTAAAACATTTAAATTTTTATATGATTGTTAATTTTTTTTAAGGTATTATTTTTAATACATATATGTATACAATTAGTTTATCGCATATGTATCAATAGTAACGATTTTAATACATTACGAAATTTTGCATTTATAATTTATATAATAATATATTTATATTTCTGATTGATTCACTGTTTATTTCATCAATTTATTTATTAATTTCATTCATTAAAATTTTTTTTTAAAAAAATACTGTGTTCAGAAAACACTGAACACTGATAAAATAGAATTTTTATAATAACAAGCTAATTTTTATAAAATTAGTTGTTTCTGTTTAGCTATGTCTTCTTTTTTTCTCTCTTTTAAAAAATTATCACTTTCTTTTTATTTTAAAGATAACATGGATAAACTATAACACTACAAAAGATAAAACCACTTAATAAGTAAGCATTCTTACAATAATATAATCTCATTTGGACATTAATATTAATCATCAAATTGATTTTTTTTAGAGCAGTTTTTATATTATAATATATATATATTGTAATTATATTAGCAATAAATAAATAATTTTGAAATAATTTTTCATAAGTTTGACTAAACAACATTGTTTTTCATATTATTTGTGAAAATTTTCAACTTTTTTTGCAAATTATGCATTAAATGAAACAATATTTAAATAGTAAAAATAATCAAATATTATATTCTTGTTTTTTATATATATTTTTAAAATTTTTTTCAATAAAATATTTGTTTTTTATTATTATTTCAATATAATAAGTGATAAAAAATTAAGTTGGTCAGATTTTATTCTTTTCATGAAAATGAATTAAAGAAGATTTAAAAAATGTTTCCAAAAATATATATTAAATAACAAAAAAAAAAGTTATCGCAAAGTTATTTTGTGCTATATTGGAAATAGTTTATAACTATATAAGAAGAATAAAGTTATATTACGACAATTTAGAGAATAAAGAGAGAGAATTTATAACTGTACAAAGGAATTCTTTTTTTTTTTTGCATATTGCAAAAAAGAATTATCATGTTTATAGTTTATGTAAAATCATCAATCAATCATCTTTTTCTCTCTCTTTATTTCTCTTTTTCGTTTTTTGTTTTATTAGTATATTAACATCAGTTTGGTTTGCTACTTTGGCCTAACAAAATATAAATCATAGGTACTTTATAATATATTAAATGCTCATTTAGCATAGAAAAAATTTTACAGACGAAAAGAGCATTTGGCAGTAAGAAAACAAATATTAAATTATATACATTAATTGTATACATCTTTGATATCAAACTGATTGTTTCCTTTTTGAATTCATTATTGTAATTCATTATTGTAATTATGAAAGTAAATTTGTGTTTCATGAAGAGTACAAATATATAGGGTGAATCTTTATAACTAGCGAATATAACAGTGAAATGGTTGCTAACTTATAATATCACCCTGTATGTATGTTCAAAAAAAATCACGAACATATTAAATATATAGATAAAAAATCTGTCGTTTTCGTCCCTGAGCAGGATAGTAATAATACAATGTCTAAAAATCTTGTGAATTAAATATAAACACTCAATACTGAAATCGTAATTAGAACATTGTTAATGAGATTCTATTTAAATATCAAAACAGAATCCTATTTGTGAAATTGAAATTTTAGTTCTTTACTTATTCCAGTTGGATTCTATAAATAGATATAAGAAACCTAGTCAAATTGGCACAGAGATCAAATATATCAATTAGAAAATTGTGACACAATAATATGTGACGAAAAATTATATCTAATAATATTACTTATTATATTATAATATTAACTTATTATATTCAAGCTTTATATCTATCGGAAGAATCAATTGCGCAGCACAACACCAAAGAGAATATCAAACCAAGTAATTCTAGAATAGCTATAGCAGCTGTGACTCCTATCACGATATTCTTCTGGCTGTTTAATGCATCCATCAATTTATCTATGCAGCCCTGAAAGAAAAAAAATTTATGAAATTCAATCAGGATCATGCTTTCAAAATGATTGGTGCATTAGGCATGTTCACAATAATTTACTTCATAGAATTAGAATTAGAAAAATCTTATATGCAATGTGATAAAAATGATTATTATATAAAAATGATTATATAAAAAATAGTAATTTGTTGAGAATGAATTAATTATTAAATAATTAATTGTGAATGAACAATAAACATTTCAAAAATATTTTTTATAAGATGAAAATTAATTTTTTAATAATATTACATTAATTATTTTATACATATATATAAATCTACATTAACATTTTAAAAAACATTCAAAGTTTAAAGTAATCAATTTTCTGAAACTAATTTTAAATTATTGTGAAATTCGATATAAGATATAAAAAAAGATATTACCTCGTTGTAAATTGCCGAACTAACCACACTAGCCACTTTAATATTTTGGCCTGCTTTGCAATCAGCGCTGTTTTTTTTTTTGCAACAGGACTCGGGTACTTTGTACATGTTATTCGCGTCTCCGGAAACGGTAAAACTGACAGGAAATGAAGAATCGCTGGTTGCATATTTACTACCTGTCCAATCCGCTGGACCTATAGCTCCACAACATCCTAGATCTGATTGAAAAGCATCCACAGTCTCTGTGTGAGCACTGTCCTCGCCATATTTGTTCTAAAATGAAAAATAAATTAATCGTCTGTTTATAATAATTATATATATATAAAATTTTAAAATCTTGATAAATAACAATAAACTATAAATTAATTTAGAAAACTTTATAAAAAATTTATGAAATTTTATAAAATATATAAAATTTTTAATCTTCTAATAATTAGAATACTGATGACTTGTAATATGTTTAATTTCAATATTATTATATTATATATTATATAATATTATTATATTATAGTAAATAAAATAAAATGAACAAAAAACGAAAAAAGGAACATTTGAACGCATCAATGAGAGTCTAATACAATATGATGAATAGAATAATTATAGATATTCAACCAAGCAATTTTGAGACGAATGGATATTGATGTTCAGCACGAATAGGACGAGGAGTCCAAACTAATTATAAATTCTTTTTAATGAATAGTGGTACAAATTTACTTTATAATAAAATCAAATAATTGGCTAATACCTTAACAGTATTTATTACAGAAGATTTAACCAGTTCTTCGAGACGATTGCTATTGGTATACAACCATGCTCCAGCCGCGATTTGTGCAACGATTACCACTAGCAGGCAGCTGAAGAAAGCGACCAGCATGCACTGGGATCCACGGAAAGCACCGCAACAACCGAAAAAGGCAACTATTAACATTAGGATTCCTGCTGAGAGCAGGATATAAAGACCGGCATTGAGGTTATGCTGTTCCTCGGCCAAGGACAATAGAAACATTTGTCCTGTTAACATCCATACTGCAAGACCTACTGCTGCTAGACCTACAGCCTGAAAATTAATTTATTTTGTTAATAATTGAAAAATATCATTCTATTTAATAATATTCTTCTCTATATAAAAAAATGAATTGAAAGTTGAAATAATTTCGAAATTAAATAGTTTCGATAAGGATATAATTTGATAAAATTCATTTTTTTGTAAGTGCATAACATATATAAGTTAAATTTATTTTTTTTTTAATATTTTTTTTAATCAGTCAATTGACTGAATCATTTTTTACAAAAAATATTTAATTTAAAAAATTAAAGTTATTATAAAAAATAATTAGTTTTTTTTATTAACTTTAAATTTCATAAAATGTAATATAATGAAAATAAGAAATTGTCATTAATTAAACAATATTTTTTACCAATGATTTATTATTAGTTCTAAAAAAAGAAATAAATTGGAAGTCAAAACAATTGAAACAATTAGAATTTTAAATTAAAAATTTATCTATATTATAATATTTAAAATACAAATTCATAAACAAAAAAACAATAAATAAAAGATTCGAAATAATTTTCAAATAATTTTCAAATAATTGTTTAAAATTATCAATTTGTTGTAGAAAAATTAATAAAAATTTAGATTAGTATATAGAATAGAATAGTAAATTTACTTGATAAACTTGCCAAGAAAAATATTACTATAGATAATGATAACGTTTTTTTAACGGTAGTATTTCAAAATTCACTGAGGCCCTTTTCATGATGGGATACCGTTGTCTGGCTCTCTCAAAAGGAAACAGGAAATTACAATACATGTTTTAAAGAGAATAGTAAATAGAAGTTTTACATTCTTAAATAACTCTTTTTAAATAATTATTGCACTTTTCTTATTTAAAAATTAAAATACAAAAACTATTGGAAAATAAACAAAAATAAAACATTGTACATTATAAAAAAACCTAATCTTAAAATTTATTAATAATTTTAATAAAATAAAAAAAATTCTTAAAATAAAAATAAAAATATAGAAAATAAAAATTTTTTCAATTTTATAAATATTTTATAAATATTGTATTTTTAAATTAATTCTATACAGTATATTTATTAATATTTATATGAATTCTAATGAATCATATTCTTGAAAAAATAATACTATATATGCAAACAATTTATTATATGTATGAAGATAAAACACACTACTTCGCTTATAAAAATATGACCTTCTTGGCTCTATTGAAACAGAGAAAGCAGAAAACGAGTATGTATTCTGGTTTAAGTACTGTTCACAATGCACTATATTGATAAATAATGAAGTATTCTTGCAAAACAAATGAACCAGAAAAGGATGGGTTCTTTTCAATAAACTATCTACCAGATGTGTACGTTTCCATATTAGAACGCTTAATTCTTCTTATTTCCTCTTTTTTGCAAAGAGAACCGTATATTTATCCTAAGAATTTTTTTAACTCAAAATATTTTAATTATACTTTTATATATTTATCAGATTTTAAAATAAAAAAATTAAAATTTTTGCTATTTTGCTCTTGCTCTTTGCTATTTTGCAAATAATATTTAATTGCATTAATAATAATTATTCTGTAAAACATGCAAAAATTTCTTATAATTTATTAATATATTATATTAATATATACTATTAATATATTAATGCATTATTATATTTATAGAATTTTTATTTATTATAGAATATTTATATTTAATTATAAAATTATTGTAAGACCATTTACACAAAAGAAATAATAACAAAAAATATATTTATTGTATTAAATTTATTATATTATAATTAAATAAATTCTTAGATTTTTTTTATAATTATAATATTTAAAAATAAAAATCAGTACAATAAATCAACTGAAAAAAAATTATAAATGAAATGATGCAATTTTGTTCTCTTGTTAATCATATATACTAAATTATTATTATAAAGTTACTATTATAAAACTGTTATAAAACATAAAGAATACTGAAATATTATTAAATACTAAGCAAATAATTACATCATTCATATAAAAAAAATATATAAATGTAAAAGATATATTATACAATTATTATTGTATAATATATATATTAGATACATCTCCTACATAATAAATTACATATGTTTATTAGCATAACTAAGTTATGTTTTGTCATATATAGAGTTTTCTGACTTGGTTTTTTTATAAATCTCTAAATAAAATAAGCTATAAATCATATTATATTTAAATATAATGTGTATGGAAAGGAATAAACATCAAGATTGAAGGTTCAATAAGTTAAAGCAGCGAAACATACTCGTGACTTTCATTCAATGTGTAATCACGCTGAAGGCGTGCCGTTTAAACAGAGGACTATATTTTCGATGTGTCTCGAATCATTCGGGTTGCGAATGTGATGTAAGAAACAGATGCAAGAATTGAAAAGAGGATTGCTTTAAACAAGTAGATTTTTTGCCAATACTATCAGAAACCAGACATAGCATAATATCAATTCCAAGATAGGTCATATTTAACTGAATATATATTGAAACAAAAGGCTCTAAAAATATAATTAAGTTGTTGCGATCGAATATTTAATATTACATTATGTATACTAATATATACTATGTATATATTCATAATATATACTATAAATAAAACTAAACAAAAGAAGTAAAACTTTTACTAGACAAAGAAAAATGTTTTTAAATATATTAATATAAAATAAAATGTTGAAAATGTAATTTATCAAAATGTACTAAGAATATTTATGTTCAATGTCTAATTTTTTTTTAAAGTTGCTTTTTTATGAAACGAATACATTTCCTTTTATTTCATTTGTAAATTTTATTATTCGATGCATTATATTTTTTTTTTAAGCATTGACTTTATTGATGAAAAATTGAATCTATTAAAAATATAATAAATATTATATTATAAATTCATAGGATTGATGAATTAAACATAACTAAAATTATTTAAAATGATTTGATATTTTTTTTTCAAACGAATTTACATTATATATTCAAAAATAATTATATTTAATTAATTATCATAACTTATATATATATAATTAATAATATATATATAATATTTAAAAAATATTTATATATAAAAAATATATAAAATATATAATAAATTTGTATATTGCACAAATAATTATTTAATTTTATTAACATCTACATTCCTATTTAATTCGTATTTTAATGTTTTATATTCTTTTTGATAATATCGAATTAAAAGATAAAATTATGTAGCAAATTATGTAACGAATTAATCAATTTGAAAAAGACACATTTAAATAATACCTAAACTTATTTGATTTTATAGAAAAAAATTTGTTAATACTTGTATAAACATTTCTCATTATATATAGATTTAGTATCACTTACAGTACACTTACAGTACAGTACACACATTTAGTATCAGAATAATATAGACAATTTAAATATACATGTTAAATTGTCAGATTTTCTTTCGGTTCTATGATTTCATTTCTTAACGATAAAAATAATAATTGAATTTTCATCATCAATTTTTTTTATATAAAACATCTATTAATTTTTTTGCAAATATTTAATATAAAAAATTAATTGAAAATAATAGTAGAAAATTAATTAAATATCATTTTTTAAATTTATTAAACTAAGTTTTCGAAAATTCAGAATTGAAATATATGTAGTTACATATATCATATCTTTTCTTCAAAAGTATTTGGCACCTTTATTCGATGCCAAATATGCCAAGTTCAACATTGTTGGTTAATGAGATTCATATAATGTTTCAAATAACCATAATTAAAATATTTACACATATTTCTTTAAAAATGCATATATTATTTTTATGAAATAATTTTTTTGTCATGTTTGATTTTCAATCAATTTCAAGATGCAAGATGCAACTCATCATGAAAAACGAGTGTGCGCATTGATATGATGAATAATTACAAGAGATGGGAATTACAAGAGAAGAAACTGGGTCGTAGTGTAGGATGCAAACTCGTAGGAAGAACATATTCGTTCTCTGACTGGAAATCTATATTTAAACGCACTTATTCCTCGTTGAACATTTTCAAACTAGATGCGATGTTTGTCTCGATGCTGACATAAGCACTATTGTTAATATCTGACAAATGTTGATATATAATAGTTTCGATCAATGTTCACGATTGTAGTTTAATAACTTGAACAAATTTGAGTCATTTTTTTTCACTTCTAATTTTTACAACGCAATTTCTAAAAATGATGCGAATTTAGAATATTATAAATTAAACATGATTCATACGCGTTAGTAGATTTTCTTCTTTGATAAGATCAATATTTTCAATATTTATGATAATTGAAATGATATCAATAAGTATGTATTTTTATTGACTTTATGTAATCATTTTACAATTTAATTGATTTTTCGTTAGATAAAACCAAAATCGATAAGTCGATTATATGAATCGGTGAAATTTAGAACAAAAAGTAATCAATGTAATATACACATCATTCAGATGAAATTAATTTAGCTGTCTTCCTAAATTAACTCATATTCTACGTAGGAAAATTACAGTATTTATTATTTATATATTAAAGGAATTTTGATAGTTCAAAAATTATTACTTTAATTACAAAAAAACATTTTACAGCTATTGATCATCATTCGAAATGTTATTATAGATTTAATGAAAAAATAATCATTAATCATTAAAATTTATTATTATTAGTAGATTTTTCTAATATGCTAATTAATTTTCGATCAATATATTGTACAAAAAAAAAAGAAAATGGTTATAAAACATTACAAATTTTAAACAATTTATTTTTCTAGAATATAAAAATTTTTAAAAATTGTATTTTTGTAAGAAAAAGAATCTTATGCATTTAGTTATAATCGATGCAGTATTGTGAGAGTTATATTATTAGATTGTAAAATAGCAAAGTAAGAAAAAATTTCTAAAATTTATTATTCTGTTATCCCATTTTACATTTGTTGCAATTCATATTTTAGATTTTTTATCGATATTATATACAAAAGATATTTCATTTTTGTAAATAAAAAAATTTATATAAAATTATTTATTAAATAAAAAAACATCCGATTCTTTGTTCTATGCAAAAGATCTTATTTCAAGATATTTTTAAATTTATAAAAAGAAATTTTGTCATGTAAAAAAAAATTTATAATAAAATTATTATATTATACAATTATACATTATATATATTATACAAAATATAAAAAAAGTATTGTGCAATTTGTTCAAATTGATAATTTTAAGTTTAATATTAATTTTTTTATAAAGAAAATTGCATAAATGAATTACCTTATTGCAATTATTGTAATAATTTTTAGATAATATTATTTTAATTCAATCGATTATAGTACAAACTCAGTTATCTTATTCTTATTATCTTCGAAATAAATTCGCGATTTGAAATAAATTGCAGGTCACCGGGTTAACAACTGTAAAGAGTGAATTAAATAAATTTATTGATACAAAAATTATTTAGTTTTATCTCTTATTATTTTTTATTCTTTATCTCTCTTTCTTATTTTTATTTCGACAATAAATAAAATGAAATTTTTATTTTTTTATGTTAAATATTATACTGTTAATTAAATATTATTAAATTAAATGAGAAATTATTTAAATTATCCATAATTTTTTATAATATTTATATATGATATTTAATGTATTATTTATATATTATATATATTATATTAAATTTTAAGTTTTATTCAAATTTTTCTCTTTTTATTAAAAAATTAATTATAAAAATGAACATATACAAATTTTTTAAGTTTATTCATCAAGTAATAGTCACATTATTACATTGTACATCTACTTAACAGTCAATATGCGCAAATTATATTATTCTTTATTATTAAATGATATGTAATAATTTTGATCAATCAAATTATTATAAATATAACATTACTAAATATTAGTATTGTAGTATTTATTTATTGATCTTATTTTTTTATTAAGTTAATTAAATTTTAAAAACCAAATTAAATATAAAAATTTCATATATTGAATGATTCTATGAATTTATTAGTTTATAGCATAAAGAAAAAATAATCAATTATATCAATAAATCATAAACAATTGTTCGGCTATAATTATTAAAATTTCTGATATATAATTATGAACACTTACCCAAAATATAAAATTTATGCAGACTAATGAATATTTAACAAATCCATAACATTCTGAAAGCACCATTTTCTTCAATTATATATAATACACAACACTCAGGTTATTTTGATAGTTTAATGGAAAACACGAATTCTCAGCTCAATGGAAATCGTTTACATTCGTTGGACGCTAATACACGGATGAGGGAGAGTTTCTTTTTATATGTTATTATGAATTACTTAATACCGTTCTCGTATATTATTAAAAGAAAAACACCGATTCATTCTATGCAGAGATTTATAAGCAAATGTCATGAGATTGTGAATACGAATACAAACTATCGGCATTAATTTTTATCGCGAATATGCGAGTGTAAAGAATAAGACTGCCACTCTCGTTTAAACCTTCTTGAAACTGCAGCTTATGACGTCATTCGAATATTCTATCTCTCTTGTTTGTGTTTTGTATTGTTATTTCTTTCTCCTATTCACATATGATCCCTACTATTCAACTCATTCTAATATACTGTTTTTCCCTAACGCTCATTCGCTCACATATAACCCCCACTCTGTTTTCTCAATAATATTACGCATGCGCGAAACATCATGAAATTATATATTCAAACATGTTTTTATATCTTTTTTGGTACTTTATTTCTTTTTGGGATTTTATTCTTTTTTATTTTAATTTTACTGTTTTAATACAATGTATTTAATAGCATTTTGTATCTTTTAATAGCAGTTAATGTTAATAGCATTTAATGTTTTTTATATATATATTTTTTATTTCTATTATATTTAATCTAATAATTTAAATATATTTAAATTTACAATAACAAATTTTTATTATTAATGATTAAAAAATATATTTGAATGATGTGACATTTTACATTATATTATTTATTAATTAATATATTTTATCTAAACCTTCAACTTCTTTCTTTTTGTCAATATCTCCATTAATATTTATAGAAGTTATTCTTAGCATTGTTCTGTGTATTCTATAAACTGTAAAATAAACAAATATATTAGATGGAATTGTAAAATATTTTTGTTATATTATAAAATAATATTAATCTTACAATTTAATCTTCTATATTGTTCCTTTTTTTCATTTTGAAATTTGTTATTGTATGAGACAAAGTTTTTTGTATTACAATTGCATCAACAGATACCAATTCCCTGTTCAAAACAGGTCTTCCAATGAGAGTGAAATCTTTACTGCCAACTAATAATACTTTTTCCAATTTTATTTCATCTCCTGGTTGAGGTGGCCAATTACCTTCAATAGCTATAATATCACTTTCTGTGACTTTAAATTGTTTTCCTAGTATATGTATGACTGCAAATAAGCGACCAGTCGATTTAGTAGTTATTTGTTTGTTAATTTCATTGATTACATCTAAAAATAAAAAGAAAATATTAAAATTACATGAATAATATAATTACATGGATAATATAAGAATAAATAATAATTAATGAAAAATATTATATCATACATATATTATTCCATATAATTACCAATTGCTATTTTTTCTTTTTTTTCATCATGTTCAGGAATTTCTTCTTGATAATTTGATGGTGAATTGAACCAAGGTAACTTATATCGAGTACGATATCCAGCTACTCTTATTTCCCATAATTTTGATACTATAATAAATAATTCGTTATTTATATATTTTATATTTATTTATTTCTATTTACTCTTAAAAATTAATAAAAAATTATGTTATATTAATTTAATAATTTGACATTAATTATTAATAATTATAATAATAAATAAATTTTACAATAGTAATAAAATAAATAAAATATATAAATATATAAATATTAAAAATAATCATATTTTACGATAAAAATCCATATATAAATAATTAACAGAAAAAAATAGTTAAAGTATTAATTATGATATAATTTATTTAAAAATAAATATTAACAATTTCTTTTAAATTTTATGAAATAAAAGTGAGGTTATAACTTAAAATTTGATGTAAATAAATAAATGAATTTTATATTATTTCTATATAAAGTATTAACAAACCTGGATAGTATTTTTTATACGTTAAAGTCGGAAAAATTCTTTTGATACAGGTATTTGTAACAAAATTAAATAATCCTGTAAAAGTAGATAGTGTCGCCATGATTTATTATCTACATATTTGTTTTGTTTGATAATTTAAGAATGAAAAATTTAAGAGATCCATATTTATAATTATAGGTATATTTTATGAAACCAGAAAATAAATATATTAGAAAAGAATAAAAATGATTTTTTTTATCAGAAAATATGAAGGAATAATTGTAAGGATTCGCGCGAAATTTTTAAATAACGAATTTCAATATATTCATATTCGAAAATAAAATATATTAAAAAATCATCGTTATTTAATATTATATAAATATTTTTATTATGATTTTTTTCTAATGATATTTATTTTTTAATGTAATATATATTATCAATGTAATAATCAATATCTAAAAACTAATTGCACATACGGAAGAATCGTAGTATTTTGTAGACTTCGCTTGTAGTTCCGGTTCAAATCAGTATGTAAAGAGATGTCGGTATATGTTCGCGAATAGTTACTTGTTATGTTTAGCCATTGTATTGTGTAGAATCAATGATTGAATTTGAATTATTATAATTATTCTTAGTATTTTTAGTAATTCGGCCACGTCGAATTATGCAGTTTTATAAGGAAAAACTTCTATCGCCTGGGCAATTGAAACGTCTTAGTGAACACAAATATAGTTGTACGACAAGCAGTCTTTTGGATGGATTTCTTCAACCCTGGTGGGACTGGCTTGTTAGTAAAGTACCACTTTGGCTTGCACCCAATTTAATCACTATCGTAGGTCTAATCGTCAACATTGCAACTACTTTGGTTCTTGTGTATTACAGTCCTGATGCTAAAACTGAGGTATCGTTTACATAACCTATTATTCTTGAATCTTTTTCCGTGTGAAAATATAAGAAATTTTTGTGAACTTTAAAAAGCTAATATATATTTATTCATTATTATTTATTTATTGAAAGGAAGAGAGAGGATAGAATAAATACAAACAAAAAATAAATATATGCAATTATTGTAATAAAATATAAAATTATTAAAAATTAATTAAAAGCAAATTTTATATATAATATGAATGTTTGAATTATATATATTACTGCAATTCTATTAATTCCATAAATATTTATAGTTATAATATATATATATATATACATATATTTATTATTTTAAAATTATATATATATATTTTTATAACATATTATAAAATAATAATTATTAAAAAAATGTAATTAATGTTATCTTAGGCACCTAGATGGGCATGTTTTTTATGTGCACTTGGTTTGTTTATTTATCAAAGTTTGGATGCCATAGATGGCAAACAAGCCAGAAGAACAGGAACTTCAACACCATTAGGTGAATTATTTGATCATGGATGTGATTCCATATCAACTGGTATGTTAAATAACTTTTTGAGTTTTTAATTTTTGTTGAAAATCCATATTAAAAATATAATAAAAGATATATATTGTACATTTTTTTTATTAAATATTTAAACATAAAATATATTTTATAATTTACAATATACTGTAATTTTAAATTTGTTATATTATAATAAAAAATAACATTTTTATTTTTTTAGTTTTTATTGCTTTATCAGCATGTATAGCAGTGCAATTAGGATATTATCCAACATGGATGTTTTTTCAATGCTTTTGTGCTATGACACTTTTTTATTGTGCTCATTGGCAAACATATGTTTCAGGTAAAAAATTTTTTTCTTATTCATAAATATTAATAAGAATAATTTTCAAAATTGTTTATATTATAATATAATTATTTCTAATTAGGTTCTTTAAGATTTGGCAAAATAGATGTTACAGAAGCACAATTTACCATTATAATAATTCATCTCATTTCTGCAATTTTTGGACCCAAAATATGGATGATGGAGGTTGTATCTATTTTAATAATATTCTTAATTTTAAGCTATTTTATATCAATCAATAAGATATATATAAGATATATATAATATATATATATTATAACTTTATAATTAATAATATATTATACTTGTAGAATGTTTGATTAATTTATTTATTATTGATAAAATTGAAACATACAATTTTGCAAATTTTAATTAAATAATTGATTACCATAAAATATTTGATTTGTCTTATTTTTATTTTTATTTTCAGTTTTTTAAATAAATTGAACTTTTTTAATATTAAATTTATCTAATGATATTAACTTACTTTTAAAATTTAATAATAGAGTTATAATTATAAAATATTATGAATTTTTATAGGATATTAAGAACATAAATTTAATTTTTTATATTTATTTATATCATGATTTTCCATTTGAACCTTCATCAAATGTTGTCCAATTTTTATTGTTACCTATATCATAATTTTGTATATATGTTATATCATTTGTTTATGTTTCATCTATTCCATCAATTTATAAATTAAAGATAAATAATATAGGAATAAATTGTTATAATTAGAATGTTAACTAATTATTCTTCAATTTAACTATTGGTTATATAAATAAAAATTAAAGTTTTTGGTAAATTTGTCATTTTTTATCTCAAGACTCATGTTTATAAAAAATTTGAAAATATTTCTGCATGAGTCTAACGAGATTATTTCTTACAGATACCATACATAGATGGTTTTATGTTTAAATATTTAATAGGAGTTATGACAGTAATTTGTGCAGTGGCAAACTTATATTCCATCTTTTCGGTGATTTTCACCGGAGGAGTGGGCAAGAATGGTTCGACTGTGGCTGTAAGTTAGTCAATTAGACTTTTGTTTTTAGAAATGTGGAAATGGGAGCAGCATGGCATGAGGAGCAGTGCTGAAATTATCTTTTTTGCTATGAAACTTATTGTAACATGCATTTTATTTCTAAATTTCTTACTCATTACTCACTTATGCCCTTTCATTTATTCCATTCTTTTTTATTTTCCTGCATTACATCCTTATTCATCATAAATGTATCATAATTTGTATTTGTACTTACAGTTTGTTGTATTCTCATAAAAAATATATACAGTAAACCAAAATTTGTAGTATGAGAGAAATCAAAGAAATTCTATGGTGCAAAATAAATAAAAAATTAAGAATAACAAAAATGCAATTGAGACAATGATTATTTCTTCGTTGTAATTTTGTTATTTTTGATATTTGTTTTATTTTAAATTATATAATCTCTTTGATTTCAAATGTTTCTCAAATTATGGTTTATAGTATAATAAAAAATATTATTAGAATATATCATACTAAAAATTATATTTTAAGAATTGTTTTGTTGTATTTATTAAAAGCTCTATCTAATTCAATTTATATTTAATATTTTAAATTGTGCTTTTGAAACAATTTCTATCAAAAAAATATGAAATGTGATGTAAATATATATATTTATTATCATAACATAATATTTTAATAATATCTTAATATTTTTTAAAATAAAGTAAAACTAACATTAAAAAATTTGCATTAACTTCAAACAGTAA